CGGGCCAAGTTTTTTTTTTCTAATTTATCACAAATGATACGCGACGGTTTTTCTTAGTATATGGTAGTGTAATATTTACTTGACTTCTTATTACCTGGCGAGCTAGTGGCCACAGATTGTTCAACTTTTTTACGCTCAAATTTGAGTGGTTGCTTCAGATTGACGTTGTTGGACTCCGCGATGGCCGCCAGCCGCTCCAGCACGCCGCTGATCGACAGCCGCTCCTCGGGGTTCACAGTCAGGCAGCCGGCTGCAAACAAATTACACATACTTTAAGCTATCTCCATATGAAAACTTTATGATGTGATTTTAATCCCTATAATTCAGTCAAAGGAACAAGTTTCATTTTTAGCCGTCTTCAAAAAGAAGGTTATCTATTCGTCTGTATGCTTTTTTCTTTTTTGTTTCTTGGAGGTATTTTCGGATCTGACATTTTATTAAAAATATATTTGTATTTTAATTATTAAAATAGTCCAACTTTATCGCTCCCATATTACGTCCTATATAAAACTGGGTCATGATCTGATTTCTTCACAATGCCGTTGTTCAGACAAGAAGATAAACCAAATATATTATTAAAGTACTGTCAGTAACTGCGTATATTTCAAAAATGATACTTCGAGTAACCTATTTGTAATATTAACATTTTAAGACGTATAAATATACTCCAATGCATCGTAATTACCTTAGTAATTTTCAATACAATTATCATATCAATTAAAAGGGTAATTAATACTAAGAATCATTTAGTACGAAACAAAAAAAAACTTACTTATGATTTCATGAAAACATTTATATCTTTGATCATTGGGGTTCAAGTTATAGTTGCCGTTCAGTATTGCCAGTTTAGCGGAGTCTTCGAATGGGTGTTGCATGAAACAGAGCGTGTACAGAATGCAGCCCAGCGCCCAAATGTCCACAGAATGGTCTATCTTACGATTGTCCCAGGTGTCCAGCATCTCGGGAGCTCTGTACATCGGTGTTGTGAACTGAGCCAACTGTAATAAATGAATTAAACAGTAACAATTTGATTATTAACATTGGTTATATCAAGAAAGCTAAACTAGTCATTTCGAATGTGGTTTCTGTGTACGATAGAAAGAAATATTGTGGGTACATAAATTGAAAATTAAATGTAGCAAGAAATGTACCAGGAAGATTTTGAATACAGAAAAAAGTTTGGGAATCTCTGAGGTTAACCTATTTTAGAAATGGTTTGTCAAGCTTTTCAACGAGGGTTTTTTATTATCGAATTAAACAACACACATCAACTTAACAAAGAAACTAAATTACAATACGAATAAACAAAGGCAAGACAGTTGAGAATTTCGCATAATTGATTCCAATTGGTCAATGAGTGTTGCGGACGAAAATACTGCAGTCTGCCTTATTGAATTCTGGGTTAAATAATGGTCGTAAATTTTGTACATTCTCTCTCACTTTTACGTGTTTGTATATTTTTTATATCACTCAAAGTTCGAATAGAGAACATTCTATTTTCATTTATCGTTGCTGTGACGTCTTTAATATAATCGGGTAACACATTAAAAAAATCTATCTTATCTTTATGGTTAAATAACGATTTTCTTACGTTTTCTTCTAGCATATTTCTCTGGTTTGCACTCCATGAAGGGTTTGGTGCGTATACGTCGGTCGTAGCCGATCCGAAATCACACAATTTTATCGTACCTAAAAAATAAAAATAAATGTATCCAAAAAAATTAGGCAGTCGCCAGTGACAAATAGCCATGTTACCAATCTTTATTATAATTTTGAACATTGTTTAAAAAAACAAAAAAAATAGTTGTAAAATAAAATTAAAAAATTCTCGTAAACTTCGAAATCGAAATCGTAACATCATTATAATCAGCCAGTATCAGTGCATTAGCCGACACAGTTCTAATACGAATCAATCAAAGAAAACGTGGCGATTATTAAAAAAATATAAAAAAAACGGTTAATTATTACATCAGTACAACAAAATCGTTACATGTAACGATTTTTCAAATAACCTCCACGTTACTTAAACGACGCATAGATTAAAGATATTATATAAATTGCTTAGTTCTTTACTGATTCCAACAATCCGTCTACGATATAAATACATTGCTGATTAAAAAACAAAGAAAAATACGTAAAATCGAAAATAAAATTGAATACAATTTTATATATAAGGAACAAAAAATAAATAATCAAATAATTAATCACATGCAACAAAACAAGAGAAAACGTCACCAGAGAAACCTTTATAATCAATACATCACAATGGTTATAAAAATAATTATCTCCTTCGGGACTTTAAAATAGTAATTTACATATTAATATTTAACATTAGAGTTTAAAGGAAAAAATATTAAATAGTGTGCAATATAAATAGTTAAACTGTATTGTTTAAATGTCACAATAGATGCAAATCAAGACAACATTAATAAAAGTGTATTTTGTTGATTGCTTGCCTTCAAGCAATTGAATCTTATAAGTATGACCCAGTTATTAGCAAAGAGACATCCGCTAAAGATTTCAGGGTTGATAAATTATCAACCATTATCTTTAGTAGGCGATTTTAAATTATTCATCACTCTGTCAATAAATTTATTCAATATGTAATTGACTAATTTTTTACGAAGGATTAAACATTTCGCTAGCTGTTCAAGGACTTTACTTACATTCTAAAAAAATTAAATAATAATTACCTTCATTGGATATTAAAAAATTTTCTAGTTTGAGATCACGATGTGCAATGGGGGGTACTTGATTGTGCATATGCTGCACAGCCCTGCACGTCTGATAGAATACTCTTAAAATTGTTTGCAATGGAAATGCCTGCCCTCTATGTTGCAACGCCTCCATTAAACTACCTCCGCTACATAAATCCGTTAACAATAAATATTCTCCCATTCCATGGGTAGTCTTCGATTTGTCTATAAATGATGCAGCAATGTACTTTATTATGTTAGGGTGGCCCGATAACTTTTTTAATATGCTAATCTCTTGTATAATATTCTTGTTTGCTTGTTCATCAGCTGCCATTAGCCTTTTTAAAGCATATTCGGTGCCTAAAGATATATCTTGAGCAACAAACACAAAAGCAAAACCACCTGCAATGCAATATTATCATATCATTATCTGCTCTTATCTTTTTGTAATCCAATAAGACAATATTTACATATTTTAACACAATATTAGTTAACAGTTATTAGTGAAAGACATTAGACATTTAAAAATTACTACAACCAGTCAATTCCACTCCAAATTGACATACATAATGGGTATTTAAAATATAACTGCATATTTAAATACAATTATATGCTGTAAAGGTTTTAAGATGCACTTTTAAATAAATTGTTGTAGTATCCTTTTGATTATTTATTATTGTGTAACTGTGTAATTAATTAATATAAAATAAATACCATTATTAGATTTCACTATGTTAACCAACAATAATGAACTTTTCTTGTATTTAATGTGTTATATAAGTGACATTTAAGTTTAACTGAATGAAAGCAGCAAACATTTATGTATTCTTTTTAAGAGACATCATGAATTATAAATAAATAATGATACAAGTATACTGAAATACATATTATATTTAAATGTAACACAAATATTGAGAATGATGTTTTTATAAGAAGGTCCATGAGGTTAATTTTGCAAAACACATTCTGGATAATGATATAATAGGAGTAATGGTGAAAATTGTATGTGATACATTGTCATTATCTAGGGCATATGCAAAGATCAGTCGCTACCCATAGGAGTTTATATTTCATAGAATGACTCCTAATTGTTTGTAGGTAAGCTTACTAATATGAAAGTAATATATCCCAAGTAGATTTATAAGAAAAACTAGAGGTATAAGAATCACATGTTATTCTATAAACATAATTATCAAGCAGATAAGGCAAATAGTAGAGTAGAGTCTTATCATTAAGCGTTTTGAAATAATTTGTGAACAAAAAGTATTTCAATGTTTACACTTCAGAAAAATTAACAGTTTTAATATATTTGGAATAAACTAAATGAAAAGAGTTTTTCAAAATCAATCTTTTCTCAATTCAATTAGTTATTCTGATATTCGAGTATAGAGATATGCAAAGAAAAAATCTATTTATTTTCGGCTCTTCCGCCCCCAAGTCTACGTGGAGAACAGTGGCCGAGACGTTTGAAGGCCCTTTTTGGTACTACTTTTTCGTTAACGTGCTATTGTATATTTTCATTATGTTGCCTCATCACTTACCTTCAGCTATGACTTTTTTTACTCGCAGTTTCATTTTCCCGATTTCTACAAATTGACCAACAAAATCATTATCACTGCCTCCGTTGGCACCTCCAGAACTGAAGTACCCCATCGCTGATTTAAATACACTCATATTTCAGGCTTTGCTTTGCACTTTTTGTACCAAAATTAAAATTAAATAAACACTATTCTACAGCTTCTTGTATTAAACCATTTTAATCGGAAATGTTCAAATTGAGGCGAGACATAATAAATTACAGGAGGAAAAGAATTGGAAATTGGCAGATCCTCTGGCAATGGCAGCAATTAATAGTGTTACCATATGAACTCGAATTCGAAGTCTCTAATTTACCAAACAACATTTACGAATTCGAAGAGTTTTTTTTTGATTGAAAATTGATATGAAATTAAAAATAATTAGGTGTAAATCATTAATGAGCTTAAGAGATGAAAATTGGTTTTAATTTATTTTAAAATTAATCAAGAGAAATAAAACAAAGTCAAGTTTTCAATTTTTTTTCCGTTTCCGGTTTTGGTTTTCTTTTCTGTAAAAAACCTACTAAAAATAACTACCCATTGCTACTTCAACTTTTTCAGTTTTTTTCTTTGTCTGTACAATATCTATTGTATGATAAAAGTTTCAAAATACAAATTGTGCATTTATTACGGTATACACACCATACACCACACATAGAGTCATGGATGTTGAATAATTTATTTTTAAAAAATACACAACAGTAAGTCATTCAAGATTGATGTTGGCAATACTCCGTAGATTTGGTAGTATTTGCAACATTTTCATTTGCAATTCCAATTGCATCTTTATCTTTATAATAATATGCGCGAAATGTGGACTGTGTTGTGTACTGTAAACTGTAAATAGAGTATTTTAAACATAAATCTCGTATTCAATACCAAACTTACAATAACTTGATTAGGTACTTGAATAATTTCAGTTATATACTCTGCGGGGTTGCATTGCATAGCAATAGCATATTCACCAATAATTATATTCAATGCACTGCACATGCGTACAACTTTAATTTTTGTTGGTATTTACTTATCTTCACCAAAGTTATTTATCAGTGAACTAATTCATAGTAAAATTGTGCCAGTGTATAATTTATAAAAAGTTCATAGTAGTATTGCAAACATAGTAAATAATAGTAAAAATAGCTAATGTTTACTATTGTTGAGAACAATAATGGGCTTTGATATTAAAAGATTTCAAGGTGACGTTGATGAAGAACTAATTTGTCCTATATGCTCAGGAGTTTTAGAAGATCCGTTGCAGGTGTGGTATATTTCTAGACTTTTCTATAAACATGGGTGTATTGGTTTTAAAAAGAGTGTTTTTAGGCGCCAGCCTGTGAGCATGCATTTTGTCGTGCGTGTATTACTGAATGGATAAGTCGGCAACCCACTTGTCCAGTGGATCGCCAGGCGGTCACCGCAAGCCAGCTAAGACCTGTTCCAAGAATACTACGCAACTTACTATCCAGGTTGGTGTGATTTCGCAACTTTTGTTATGTGATCCTCATTGCAACATTGAAACCAGGTTATGTTTTGATTGATTTTACTTGTAAAAATCTCATGCTTTGATTCAAGTACTTAATGTTTCAAACAGAATGCAAAATGTTTGAGAAATTATTACTAGTTTTGAAAATGATTCAAGAATTTTTGTACACATTGATCATATGATCAATATATACTTGGAACTTAAAATAGGTATTTAAAAGTAAAATACCAATATAAAATTTGGTTTTTGCTGCTTAAACTACATTATAATTAAACAGGTATTGAGCATTTATTGATGCACTATGTCAATATTTATGAACTACATTACACAATGTGACTAAACATGCAGCTGTTACTGTGAGTTTTCATTGCTAAAACATTCCTACATAAGCATAATCTACATAAATATTTTAATTCAGTTATATCACCTATGTTTCACTTTAAATTATTCATTGTATTTACAAGAACTTGTATCTTATATAGAATTACAAGAGGGTAGTTTTTTTATGAATATATCAGTATGTAATGTCTGAATTTAGCCTAAAATTAATATTTTTTTTGGACTGAAAACAATATCAGGACAACATATAATACTTAAGTAAAACAAATTGATTAATGAATTATAAATATTTTTTATTTACATATATCTATTTGTTGTTTCAGACTTTGTACAAGCTGTGATAATGCACCTCACGGTTGCAATGCAGTTTTGAAACTGGACTCCTTAGCTTCACATCTTGTTGATTGTTAGTATATTTTTACATTTTCATAGCATTAATCATTTCAATGTTATAAATACTATCTGCTTATAAAAATAAAATTGTTTACTTTCTTTGTATAAACATTTTAAATACTATGCAATTCCAATATACTGTTACAAATAAAGACCTAAACTAAGCAGCTGATTAATATCTTATATGCCCAAATAAATTAATTGCTGTATGTTAATACATAATACTGCAATTTACAATAGTTTGTCATACACCAAAAAAACAATCTAATGGACTCTCAGAGTAGGTGACATATTTTTGTTTATAAAGTTTCATTCCTCATCATGTACTTTTAGACTTATTGATTATCAATTTAGACTATATATTTTAACTTTTAAACATTGTTGTCTTTGTTCTTACTAAGAGAACAAAGGAGACAACAATATGTTTTTTTATGGTAGAACCACACTATTACTAATCAATTTAAAATCCAGGTGAATATAACCCAAAAAGACTAATGCCATGTGAAGCGGGTTGCGGTCTTGTTATACCGAAAGATGAGCTGGCGGAGCACAATTGTGTTAGAGAGCTGAGGGTATTGATTGCATCGCAGCAAGGCAAGCTTACAGACTACCAGCAGGAACTTACAGAACAGAGACTTATAATAAATGAACACAAAAGAGAGTTGGCATTGCTAAAAGTAAGTAACAATGTGAATGGTTTTAAAAGTATTTAATAACGAAAACATAAATAAAACACTATGAATGTGTTTCATTGTGAAGAAATGCAATCAAATATAATGTTGTTTAGAAAGTTTGTATCGAGAATCGGTGGCTCAAGGGTTTTAACCCTTGACTTGCAATCTGCAGGTCCGGGATTCGCATCCCGCCATGTACCAATGTGTTTTTTGATTTCCGATTTACATATGTACATTTATCCGATGTTCATACAGTGAAGGAAAACATCGTGATGCAACCTGCACATATCTGAGAAGAAATTCAAAGATATGTGTAAACTCAACCAACCTGAACTGGGCCAGCATGGTTGACTAAGGCCTAGTCACCCTTAACTTAGGGTAGGCTCCGAGCCCCTCAGTGGGGACATGTAGTGAGCTGATGAGGATTAATGTTGTGGCCTTGATTGAATATTATTACCTTTTAAGGTTACATTTATGTATTCCAGAGTTACAGATGATGAATAATTCATGAGTAATTCAATTGAATAAGGAAATACGTAAATTATTTAAATCTATAAATTAAAATTCCTTTTCATTCAAAATTTCTATTCAAAACATGACTTTCCTTGTAATATTATTGTATAATTTGACACATGTTTTGTGGTTATTTATATGATTCATAGAAAATACAATAGTCACTTTTTTGCTATCATATGTAAGTTTTGCTTAACCAGGTGGCAAATGTAACATAAAATTATTACATTGATAATCATTGATAAATTATTACAATACTATTGTGAGATGACGTGACCTTCATTATGATAGCCAAGGTTACGTGATCTCTTGACGCGCCAATGATTATTGTGCGTATGTGACAGGAGTTCATGCGCGCGATGCGTGTGTCGAACCCGGCGATGCGCGCGCTAGCTGACCAGATGGAGCGGGAGGAGGTGGTGCGCTGGGCGAGCTCATTGGCCCGCGCTCGCGTTACGCGCTGGGGTGGTATGATATCAACACCTGATGACGTCCTGCAGGTGGTAATACACTTACTTTTACCAGTCGATATAGTGGTAATACATCATTTTACCAATCCCTAAAATTTTGTTTTCTACCGCACTCCGTATAAATTGGTCAGTAAGTGACACCCTTAGGGTAAATGTGCTAAAAGCATGTTTAAATGAGACATTTAATTGTACTAAGGAGGACCATTTAATGACTTGAGTGAGGGTAGTTTAACGTTTTTCCCATCTTCCTCTTATTTCTATCTTTTTCTTTTCTCTATCTGTTTCATGCTTGACTATTCCACTAAAGAGTTAAGTCTTCATTTAAATTCTGACGTGATATTTACACATACTTTACACAGATTAAAGAAAGAATAGTAATTAAGTAAAGGTTTCAATTTCGAGAAGATTCGTTCCAACCATTAATGTTATTATAGTTGTATAAAGTGAGTTAAAAAGTAATGCGATAATATTTATTATTATTGATTCCAATGTCATTGCTAAAAGTATACAAAGTTGTAACAATGAAATTGGATCACTCTCATTGACTCTGAATTATTTAAGATCATATTAATAAACTACAATAATTATACAGTTTTAAAATTATTAATATTTATATATTTCTTATATAAATAGTCACAATTATTGCAATTGTTTCTTGATGTAGATAATTAAAACTACGTTATTTTTTATACCTGCAGATGATGATTAAGAGAAGTTTATCGGAATCAGGCTGCCCCTCTCATATAATAGATGACCTAATGGAGAACTGCCATGAACGGAGATGGCCACCTGGTCTTTCATCTTTAGAAACTAGACAAAATAATAGGAGGTAAGAGATTTTATAAGTTATTGTATGATTGTGGGACAGAGAAGATATTGAAAGTAAGTGGAGATAAAGGGTGCGAAATTTACACAACACAAGTGAATGGGAAGAAAAACTGCCTTTTGCTAACTATACATGTCGGCATGATCAAGTGTTGGTGTAGTACTAAATATACCACAGATACACAGAAAACACTTTATTTCTTATGCAATGTTCTCTGTTGAATGTAGTCATAGCAATGTCTTCCGTGAAAATTCGCTAGAATGACGTATAATATTTTGACAGATGACAGCCCACTCTTGACAGTAGTGCTACTTAAAGCTTTTATTTTTTCTCTACTTTTATCAATAGTTGTTCACACTTCATGTTACCAGTAAAGTCAATGATTCTTATTTCAGATTGTATGAGAAATACGTGTGCAAAAGAGTACCGGGTAAGCAGGCGGTGCTCGTGCTGCAGTGCGATAATACACACGTTGACGAGCACATGATGGTGGAGCCCGGACTCGTCATGATATTTGCCCATGGCATCGAATAATATCTTTACAAATAGTGACAAAATGGACTGAAGATTGAATCGTTCAAAACGTAAAATGTAAAATTTATTGTGACTCTCACACATATGCCATTTACAACATTGTCAATATATTTTTACTTACAACTTTGTGCTTACAACCTAAACCGCGTGCATGACATGAAAAGCGGAAGACACACCGCAACACTAGAAGTCATTGACAAGTTCGCAAACATAGTGTGTACTGTCCTTTATCTCCATGGTAGAATTCCTGTGATTTGGTACTATTGGATAAAAATGTATATAACGTTAATATCCATAGTAAAAGTAAATTATTGCTATTTTGGATTTAGGTTTCAGGGTGATGCAATTGTGGCATGATATTGTATACAATAGAGTACTACATTGTTCATATAACTGCAGTGGTACTTATATTGACACATTGTTTTTCTTGTTTTCTCAAAGAGAATGTAAGGTATGGCAATATGTGCCAAAACAAGAGTTGCTGTACCCAAAACCCTGCAGTTAAATTATGTTTAATTATTTGTGTTAGTTTCTTTGCATTTGCTTAGACTAACATTCCTAAATTTTTGTACACATAAATTACAAATGCAAGTGTTTACTTAACTGAATTTAAGCAATATTAGAGGTGCGAGGTAAGTTACAATAAAGTGTGTTAGTTCCAAGTTTGTATTCATAATAAAGTTGCGATAATTGTGAGAAAATTGTATGAATTTTCAGGAAGCATTAACGAAAATTTTGCTAAGTCAATGCTTATAATAATTAGATCTAATAAAGATATAACTATCTGTTTTCTTTTATAACGTTTCGGAAATGTGACAAATATATTTTGGTTATTGAAGAGAAACATGGTGACTACTTTTTTATTGCGATGAGGACAAAAGACGTGTAAATGTTTTAGAGTAACAACATTTTCGTATTTTACTTATGTGATATTTACTCGAGGTTTTTCTCGTTTATAAATTTCGAATTGTCAAAAAAATAATATATTTTAGCTCAATTTGGAAAATAAAAATGTTTTTAATGACTTATTGTTATTATTCCTTACCTCAAAATCTGAATAACTTCCTCTCCCTTTAGATTTTTTTTTGGTTTTACTATTTGATAGGATTGGAAGACGGAGAAAAAAATGATTTTACCAAATTAAAAAGAAAAAAATGGAAACTTATTGAAAATATGGATGAATTTTTAATTGCTTTGGTCTTGACCCAAGTTTAAAAGTAAAGAATGTCAAATAATCGCCACAGTTGACATGAGATGTCAAGTCAGTTAGTTTTTGCCTGTCATCGTGTATGTAGTATTATTTAAAATATATATGCTATTCTTGACGAAATCTCTTTATTAAATGCATAAAAATGTCTGAAATGGAAGTTACAGAAACTGGTAATGATTGCTCAAACGATCTTCGTAAGTATTACAAAAATATTAAGTTTGAGATAAAGTAATTGATATTTCTTTTATAATTGTCTTCACTTTCGGATGCTTGTTTTCCTTTCAGTTCTTCTTGATCGCGTATTCTTGAGGCTAGGAAATGTGGACACCGATGAACAACTGGAGAGTTGTCTCAATAGATTCCTACCTCCTGTTATCTTGAAGTTATCATCACCTCATGAACAAGTTAGTTTGCTTTATATTGCATTGATTGTTGTTTTTTAAATAAAAAAAATGAATTTTCGATCAGAAGGTTATTGATATAAAATAATTAATATTTTTTATCCACTTATCTAATTATAGCCAGTAGTATTTACCATGAAGAAAATAAAAAATCTTGAGGTGTATAAACTATGAACAAGTATTTTGCTGCATTATACATTTAACTACTGTAAGGTACTGCTAAAAAGTTAATTAAACAATGTTGTTGCTATTTTAGGTTCGCACAAAAGTAATGGAGTTATTGGTGCATGTGAACAAGCGAATAAAATGTCGTGCTGATGTTCAGCTGCCTGTGCAGACCTTGCTGCAGTTATACAAAGACCCCGCTGCTAATAGTTTTATTATTGTAAGTACCAGAACGACAAATAACATAGGAGTTTGTTGAGAATTCATGAAGTAGCATCTTATGTAGATAAGTCATATAAATGAATAATTTATTTCACCTTATTTAGTATGTTGGTTCCAAATTATAAAGTTATATGTTCAGTTTAGCTAAAAACTTTAAATATGCATGATTTTGAATTTATTTTACATGTTTTTGTTTCAAATGCAAGTACCAGTATATCAGTTAAAGTTAATGTCTGATAAATTAGTTTATACATTGCTATGTTAATTTCTTCTAGAATTTTTCTAAAATATACATAACAATGGGCTTCCCACGACTGCCTCGGGAACAGCAACTTAGTTTGACACCTTCTCTGCTCGAGGCCATAGAGAACAAACCTCAGCCCCATCAAGATGGGTATGTTACAAATTTATTATTCTCAATACATTCTTCTACAAACATAACAAACTATAGTGCATCAATTGAAAGTGGTTTTTGACCTGTGACATTAAAAATTCTTCACTTTTTGTGGTCTCCGGCCACAAGTGCCCAGTCAAAGAATTATAGCTTGTGGGCTACTCCTTTACCTACTTTTGTATCTTTGAATCATGGATAATAATTGACATATTTTTTAATAAAATTTGACGATAAAGTTACTCAAATTATACTATTTGTAAACTAATCTGTAATTGTTTCTTTCAGGATTCTAATGCTTGTGATGCCTCTCCTAGGTGATATAAAAGAGACAGATCTGAATTTGAAGGAAAAGCCTAAAGTTTCATCTCTTATATTAAAGTTTGCATTGGATATTTTGCTGTTACCATACAGGTGCATAGATTTGTCACATCTTTGAGTAACATATATAAATATACTAGCATTATTATTTCAAAATGATATTAATGATTTAATATCTCTTATATGTGTTGGTTAACATTCAAATGTACTTGCCAGGGCTCTACCACATGAGGGTGAGAGTGAGTTCCAAGTACCCCCAGGAATGAGTATGAAGACATACAAAAGGATAGTGGGTAATAATCAATTAAATCCCAACCAGTTAGAAGAGGTAAGCAAAGATTTGAATTAACTCATTTTGGTGTATTGTCACATGATGAGTCTGTCTCGGGCAATAAAAAAACTTTATTAGGAGCCTACATGTTCTTTCAGGCTATATTCTATATCTATTCCAAATTTCAGCAAAATCCCTTTAGCCATTCTGAAGATACCTTTTACCAAACATCCATTTATCCATCCATACATCCATTTGCATTTAGCATACTGGTAATATAGTAATGAAAATATATGTAAATAATTTCTTATGTAATATATTAATTTCTTTATAGATGAAACTGTCAATAGTGAATTTTATAAGCAAGGATATATTCAACATGAATGATATCCTGTTGACATTGATTGTGGCAGCGGCTGATTCACGCTTCAGTGTTGCCAACCATGCAAACAGCCCGCTTATTAGAGTGAACAGGTAACACTGAGATTTTGTTTGTAGTATAATATTGTATGTTTTAAAATGTCATAACTTTTATGTGTGTGATAAAAACTATGTCACTTTTTGCAAATTTGGCAATAAATTTGATGTATTAATTAGTTACAAGAGTGTGCAATGATTTTTAGCTGCATTTGTTTGCTTTGTTTGCTTTGTTTTGAAATAGGTTTTTTGTTTTGTAAAATTGTATAAAGTCACTTTCACTAGTTATCATACGTCGTTATTTGTTATTTACAGTTCCGTGGACTGGTCGCAGCCAGCAGTGGTAGGTCCCCTGTACTCATTGTACCTCGGCACTTGGGGAGGTATGAAAGCGCCATCAGATGATCGTAAGGTATACAAATATATTATGAATCGCTTATATATATGAACTTTGGATGTCATGTTTTTCATATAAATAGTCTAATCTGTATAATTTTAGGTTGCCGCTTGCACCAGACTACGATTGAAGTTAATTCAATATTTAAACAAAGCAACGGGACCGGCTATCATGTTCCCGCATTGTGTACAGGTAAAATGTTCTCTATAATAAAATAATCAACAAATTTGGTTGTTTGTTTGAATGTTTGCATTGAATAGGCTTTGTAACTACTGAACCGAAAAATTTCTTCACTGTTGGGACGCTTCACTATCCTCGGTTGACATTGGCTATATTTATTACTAATTTTTTTTATAATTCTGCACGTATGAAATCGCTAGTATTAAATTCTATAACAATATTATGTACTAAACAGAATCATACTAATATTATAAATGCGAATGTTTGGATGGATGGATGGATGGATGTTTGTGTGAAGGTGTCTCCAGACCAGCTTCATGGATCTCGCTGAAGTTTACCATAGAGTTAGAGTATAATGTGGAAGAACACATAGGCTACTTATTACGTTTATTTTAGTTCCATATAATAAATTAAATTTCTTTCAGGTCGTGTTTTCGTCACTATTTGATGCAAATACAAACTCTCGTCTCAGGAATATGGCTTTGATGTTTTTATTAAATGTTATTAACAAGTAAGTGAATATACAGCGTGTCCCAAAATTCAACGATAAAACTGTTATAAAACGAGGGAAAATATTAAAAAAAAATCTAACTCATTTTTTTTTAAAGTTTCATTAACTTTTGTACCTTTTCTTTGATACCCTCCACCATATAATTAGACACTGTGGCTACAAATATGAAGATATTCCTGCAATCTTTTTTGGATTAGCTAGTTAAGTAACATCGCTATAAATTGCAGTTAAAAATTGGACCAAAACATTCGTAATTTAAGCACAAAAAAATAATTAACTTTGACTGTTTTCTTGAAATTTTAGAACATTTTAACTTTTCACCAACTTTGACATGATACTGTGTAAAAAAAAATGTACGAAGGCCACGGCACTAAATTATAATATATAATACATTCCATATGTAAATATTGTCATTATTAACTTTTAGCGGTGATTCAGAGCAGTTAAAGAAAGTTGGTGTTGTATTCTTGCATGGATTGTTAAAACTGATCAGATCAGACGAGTATTCTGACCACCATTCCAAAGCTTATATGTGCTTAGGTAAGTTTATACATTAAATTTATTGTGAATCGTTTACTTTGGTCCTATACTTTAACAAAACTAATATAGTATATTTAAAGTTATTGTTCTCTTAAGTCATTTTTACCCCTATTGATGATTTGATTGATGATAAGAAGTTATGCGCCAACTCCACCCTTCAGATTATGGGAAAATAGCATGGAATCATTTCATCTAGTACTATCTTCCAGGTCGTTTGGCATTAAAATGCCCGGAGACTATAAACAAGCAGTTCATATTATTGGAGGAGTTTGTGAAGAAGATTCCGGAAGCTGTGCCCGAGATGAAGACAGCGCTGCGTGATGCACTCCTCGATATGTCCTACGCTTACTCAATGCATACACCAGGTAAAATCATAATCAAACATATATTCATATAAATAAAAGTTTGTCTGTCTGTATGTGATATTGTATAAAAAAGCATTTTTCGTGAACACGATGTATTTGTGGTACTGAAAACGAAAAACCAATTTTGAGATTTTTTGTCTATTGTTTTGACTGATAGATGCTGAACATAGTCTGGATATACGCTTTTAATAAAGTTTTATTAAACTCCTCGCAGACGGAGTCGCGTGCGATAGCTAGTATATAATATACAAAGCACATTAAGTGTGGAATCTTTATTTAGAAGGTAAGGAAGAAGCAATGGAGACATCAGCAGCGGGCACCAGCAACGACATGGATGTGGATGAAGCGTCAGAGAGCAAGAAGCCTCGCCCCAATCCATACGACGAGCCGCAAGCCTTGGCGCTCTACGCATTGCTTGATCAGTGAGTGTTACTGTTCTCATTGTTGTAATATTTGTAGCGAAACATATTGTCATCTCTTTTCCTTCTTTTGATATAACAGAGACGATATATTTTAATACAAGTTAAGTTTCATGATTAGAGTTACGCATAGCTTAACCTGTTTGTGTTCTTGAATATGTTTTTCTTCTTAATATGAATTTTGACAATATATTTAAAGACCATTTAGATGAATATACAACAGAAAAATGTCCTGGATTTTAGTATATATTGTGGTAATAAAAAAAGTAATGTAATTTTCTCATTATGTGTATGTTATGTTAAATTATTAAAATATATATATATATATATATATGCCAGAAGGACACGCGGCTGCGCCAGCACTAGTAACTAGGTTGTCATAACAATGTGAGATAATAAGAACATGATGTGAATTGTTTTGAATAGCTACATGCACAGTGAGGATTCGATGATCCGTTACATCGCCATGCGGTACTCCTCCGTGGTGTTCCCTCAGGACTACGTGCCCTCGCGCTACCTGCTGCTGCTCGCCAGCGGAGATACGTAAGCTTAAACATAAAACCAAAAAGATAACAAGCCTCTTTACCACTGTTATTTATAAATGGATAGGCCATTGCATGGAAATGACAGCTTTTGCTTTTGTTACGATTTAAACGCGCATGTTGATGTTACGTAATAGCTAAGAACTATAAACTGCTACCATCAGCGCCAAAATGGCAAAAATCAATTAGGCACAAAATACTACTTCTTATAACCAGTCCATTTATAGAAGTCAGTGGTCTTTAAAAATTGCCAGATAATTATTTGTTTGCTCATTTAATTATTTTCTCGCCCTTTGTCTTAATAAATTCGCAATAAGTTATGTAGGTTTTGTTCCTTTTTCAAATAGTAATTAATTTAATTTATGATTTTTAAACAGTCAGGACGACATTGTAACCGAATCACAAAAATGTCTATACGGCACATCACGTGCGAGCGAGATAGAAGATGTAGTGAACAACGTGAGTAAGAAAGAGACGGCTGTTGTCAACTTAGATGAGGGCCCTGCACGGAAAGACAACGAATCAACGGCTGAGTTAAAAACTCCCAGTTTCAAAGACGTGGTAAATTATGTATGGGAACAGATACAAAAGAGGAAGAAAGGTTCAAACTCGAAGCACAGATATGTTATTGGTAACCATTTGTTGCAGTTTCATCCAAAAACTTACCAGGAAGTGAGTAATTTTTTTTTCATTATGATTGTGACCTTTTACAGCCTAAATACCTGGACTAATCTAAAGAATTTGGCATTTTTAGATTCGTATTTTTCTCCTGAATGCCAAAGGTCTTAATTAAATGAGGTCTTGTTTAAAAATAATTAACTCGAGTTTATTAAAATGTTGTTTGACAGATATTAAGGTATATGAGAATGTGTTTGAACCGTGATGCTAAGTTAAAAGATTGCTCAAACCATCCCAATAGTAATTCACCTCTGCTCGCTAAATATTTCCGAGAGAATTTACTGGAGACAGAAGTACTTGAACGTTACCTGACTATGATCACATCATTACTTAACGCGTGCCCAGGTAATATTATTTTGGATGAATAAGTATACAGAAAATATCTTCTAAAAACAAAATATAAAAACTTTTTTTTTATTTCAGAATTGATGCCATTAACATGCTTTTTGGACATTGTTGGTTGTGTACCAGAAATTATAGCATCAAAATATGTCTCTCTGCTACCATTCCTTATGAATCTCTTTACAACTAGCACGAAAGAGGATATACGTGATATTGCCGCGGTCATTTACGCGATTATTACAGCAAATACAAGCAATAAATCAGCAATTGAAAAGGAAATAAAAGAATTCGTTGCACAAAGTCGCGGTAACAAAGGTCTAGAGGCTCAGTGCGGTTATATTTCAGCGTTTAGTCATCTTTGTGAACGTTGTATAGCGCTGTCAAAGCGCGGCAAATTTGGCGGGAAAGGATTCAATCCGTCAACCTGGGAGCCATATCAAGATGGCGCGTTATGTTTGGGTAAGTTTTTTAAATTCATCTCATTATAATTATAATTGAACCGTATGTAATAAATTGTGTGTCTGTACTTAAATTATTTTATAGATTTAGTTTACTAAAAAGCTATGTTAATATATCTGTTTAAAGTATTTTTAATCTATGGTATTTTTTTTTTCTTATAAAATTACTCGTTTCATTTCAAAGTGGCCAGTGAATATTTTTATTTTCAGGTAATTTCCTCGCAAGTCCTCAGACTTTACTAGTCAGTACATCTGTTAGTTCAGTATCTTTGTTAGTAAGATGCAGCGCTTTGCCTTTACCTAATATGAATGCTAAACAAGAAGCCATGGTACATACAGACAATCCATTCAATGTTAACCACAAAGACATTGTTACTGACGATGAAGTAACAAAGTATACGGTTGCAGAGCGACTGTTCAGGATTGTAGGGAATCCAAGTTTACCTTCCAAAGTAAAAGAAAGGGCGTTGTATACGTTAGGTTTGATGTGTTGTGGTGAAAGATTGATATTTGCGAAACAGATCGTCAAAGGATTCCTGCAAATGGCTAAAGATGTATGTATTTATAAATTAAATGAACTAACTTGTCTGTACTTTTGTCCTAATCCTACTAATATAATAAAGTTAAATGTTTAAATGGATGGATGGATGTTTGTTACAAGGTATCCCCAGAAGTATTAAATTTGGCATAGATGTAGAACATTATTTAATTCGACATGAGCAGATTTGTTATTACTGTTGTTAAAATTTAAACTTTGTTTTAAAGTTAAGAATATCGTCGTCTAGTTAAAATTTAAAAAATCAATGATTTTTTTTACTAATTATATTTTTTTGATCGTTTGTTTCAGAGTAAGGAATTCGAAATTCATTTACAAATTGGAGAGTCGCTCGTGCTTTGTGCGGAAGGTGTTAACTCTAATGAAAATAGAGATTTATGGACCGAGTTACCGAGAGAGGTGAGTTTTAATACAACTTATAATATTTTCACACTAATAATTCGTATGGTGAAGGAAAACATCGTGATGCAACCTGCACATATCTGAGAACAAATTCAAAGATATGTGTGAAGTCAACCAACCCGCACTGGGTCAGCATGGTTGACTATGGCCTAATCACCCTTAACTTGGGGTAGGCTCGAGCCCCTCAATGGGGACGTATAGTGAGCTGATGATGATGATGATGAATAATTCCAAGTCCATTTTTTAATGTTCTTTGTTTTACACAGGGTGATGCAAAGATAAGAGATTTAGAGGCTTTAAAGGAGAACGATGAATTACTACAATGGCTGTTACAAGAATTGTTTAAGATAGGAAAACATCCTCACCCACATTCAAGACAGGTAAATAATTTAATTCCACACCAAGATTCTGGAGACTTGACTTTTTTAATAACATTTGATTTTAAATTCCAGGCGACAAGTATTTGGTTGTTGGCGTTATTGAAGAATTGTTCCGACAGAGAGCCAATACGAAACAGTCTGCAGCTGCTCCAGAATGTATTCATGGATTATCTCTCGGAGAATAGCGGTAAGTAACTTATTTAAATTTTTAATACTTACATAATAATAGTGTTTACGATTTTACTAAACATGTTCATAAAGCGTGTTCAATTATTCTTTTGAATAAAGCGTAGTTTTAAAGAATTGGAAAATAATTATTAGCGTCAATAGCCTAATGGTTAGGGATACGGATTACCGATCACGAGGTCGGGGGTTCGAATCCCGACATTCGATTATTGTCGTGAACGATATCCTAGCACAAGCTCTAGAGCTTAGTTGGAATGGTAAAAGAAATATTAATAAATTTACAAAAAAAAATCTGCTAATATTTTATTTAAAAAAATGTACTAGTCATATTAACCGTTTATTAGACCCATTTTCAATACTTACAAAGAGTTGCTTTTTAATAAGATGTGTCACTATTTGTTCATGTGTTTTTTTTATTTGTCTTGTATAGTATATCGTAATTTTATATACCGCTTTGTAAAACAGATATAGTACAAGACGTAGCTAGCAAAGGTCTTAGCCTTGTTTATCAGAATTCCGATGAAAGTCGTAAGCAAGCGCTGGTGGGTGATATAATTGAGCAGCTGACCAGCGGGAAGAGATCCGTGGCGCAGGTCACTGATGATACCAAGATATTTGAAGAGGGACAGCTTGGAAAGGCTCCCACTGGGTTGGTTCATAAACTTACTATTTTACTAATGGATGGATGGATAGATATTATCACGTAACTCCAGAACAATTGAATGGAAGATAGGCTACTAAATGAGATTTTTTTATATCACGTAGTATTTTACATTTTTAAATCTGTTGAAATTATTTCATGTTTTATAATCAATAATATCGTTAAATTATTTAATTTACTCGTATTTTTTATACAGGGGCAATCTTTCAACTTACAAGGAGTTATGCTCTCTAGCGTCAGACCTGAACCAGCCCGATTTATTGTATAAGTTCATGCATCTGGCACATCACAACTCTGTTTGGAACTCCAAGAAAGGTAATGTTGTTTATGAACAGGATCAAAACTTAATTAAAAAAAAATATTCCTAAAATCTAAAGATATACTACGAAATCTACTTAAATTCATGTTATCTTACAATTGTTACAAAAATCAAAATTTTGCTATGAAAATAAAAAAAAATTACTATATTTTGAACACCGTACATATTTGAAAATGTATTTAGAAATGTAAATACGATAAATACTGTTATAGATAAATGATAAATGTATGTATTTGTCAGGCGCGGCGTTCGGGTTCCACTCGATAGCGCTGCAGGCGGGCGCGCAGCTGACCGACCATCTGCCCAAGATAGTGCCGCGTCTCTACCGGTACCGCTTCGACCCCACGCCCCGCATACAGCACTCCATGGCCGCCATCTGGCACGCCATCGTGCCCAACACGCAGCACACGGTCAGTCGCACGCGCCTTGCACCTCAATAACTGGACTTCCTTCATGACGGTTTACATTATTCCACTCCAGTGATCGATATTATCGCTGGATTATAAAAAAATTATAAACATTATAGCGTCAATACCCTAATGGTTAAAGATACGGAGTTCCGATCACGCTCGGGTGTTCGAATCCTGCTGTTCAGCTATTGTTGTAAACTACATCCTATCATAAACCTAGAGCTTACTAGAAATGGTACAGGAAATATTAGTAAATTCACAACAATCAGTTAATATTTCAAAAAAGAAAAAAAAACATTGGATATGGGCAATTTTAGTGTCGCTTTTCATTTTCCGAGTTGTATTGTACTGATTACTACTGTACAGTACAATACAACTTGTACAGTACTGATTACGATCACTGGACTGGAATAATATAAACCAGACAACGCGAAGAGTGCGGCGAGATAAAATTAAGGAAACTTCTATGTATCAAAAATGTATGCAAGGCTCGGTAATTTTCCTGAAGGTACACAATGGTAGAGCAGTAGAGATTAACAGTGGTAGAGCCCGCTTTAACATCTTCGCACGAATTGGCCCGGCTCGCCCGGTCTAATACCACGACCACACAGAAGACAGGCGTCAAGTGAAAGCAATTCCGCGTTTCGTCTGATGAGTGTGCGTCCCGGAGGCCTAATTTAGTCCTCTAAGGCCTCTTTCCCTTCCCATCCTTTTCTTTATAAGGAAAGGATGGGAAGTGGAAGTGGACTTTCCGGATGAGAGGATGCAAGGAAAGGGAAGATATTTTCTTTCTTTGCATCCTCTCCTCCGTCGATCAAAGGTAGGCAACGCATATGCAATTGCGTATGTCTATGGGCAACGGTCACTTCGCTATTTCAGCGATTTCGGGTGGCCGCTCGCTCGTTTGCCACCTTATGATATAAAAAAAATGGTTTTTATCGTCCAGGTTCAAAAATATCATAAAGAGATATTGGATGACCTCGTGGCAAATCTGACATCGAACCAGTGGCGAGTGAGGATGTCTTGTTGCAACGCTTTGTCTGATCTGTTGAGGTAAGGTATCAATATGCTTGTATTGCTTTATAAAAAACGCAACCTAGAACTCTTCAGGAAATTAAAATCAATACATTTGTGGCATAGCTCTAGCTCTCTCAGAAACAGTTTATATAATAGCGAAGTCAGGGTTTATGTGGCTATGTGATGTGTTGTCAGAGGTGCGAAGAGCCTGCACGAGTCTCTGGAGCAGCTGCCTACGATCTGGTCGCAGCTGTTCCGCGTCATGGATGACGTGCACGAGGGCACGCGTCTCGCAGCTACAGCCACCGCTACAGTACTTTCTAAGGTAATATTTAGAATCATCATCAGCAGCTCTGTCCCCACTGAGGAGCTCAGAGCCTACCCTAGGGGTGACTAGGCTATAGTCAACCACGCTGGTCCAGTGTGAGTTGACTTCACACATATCTGAATTTCTTTCCAAATATGTGCAGATTGCATCACGATGTTTTCCTTCACTGCGAGAACGTCGATTAGAACTTTATGTCCTCTTCAAAATGACACGTAAGAACGGTTTGTTTGTTTGTTTGTGTGTAGCTGTGCGTGCAGGCGTGCGATGTAGCGCAGGGCAAGGACGGCAAGCGTGTGGTGGACGCCATCCTGCCCGTACTGCTTGATAATGGCATCACCAACCTCGTCAAAGAAGTCAGGAGTGTCAGGTACGCACGATATTACATCTTACTAATAATGTAATCTTCTTCTTATTAATATTACAAATCCGAATGTTTAGATGGATGGATGAATGTTTGTTTGAAGGTATCTCCAAAATGACTGAACGGATCTCGATGAAATTTACTATACATCTAAAACACAGTCTGGAATAAGATATTGGCTAGTTAAAGGCTAGGTAAAACTATTTTTATTTTAAATTCCGCACGGACGCAGTCGCGGCCAACCACTAGGTATCCATATTAAATTGTATGAATTTGTATGTATTCATAATGGTTATTGTCTCTTTTTGCATAAATAAACTATTAATTTTCTTGATGAAATAGCTGGTTAGTACTATCAAACCAATTCTTTTTTTTAAAGGTAGCCGAAGTACTCATTTCCTTTTGTACGACCCACTTTTACGTTAAGACCTAGGTCGCTTTTTGAGTTAGTAATGTGACAGAGGTTGTATGTGGTCCCCAGCCTGCTGACGGTGTCCCGGCTGGTGACATCATGCGGGGAGCAGGTGTCAGGGTTCGTGTCGCGGCTGGTGCCGGCGCTGGTGTGTGCGGCGGGCGAGTTGGAGTCCGCGCGCCTCTCACACCTCAGCACCGTGCTCGCTGACTCCAGCACAAGGGAGGTGCTCGATGACCTGCGAGCTAATGCCACCAAGCATCACTATACTACCGATACTGTTGTCAAGGTTTGTCTCACTGACTGATTTCCTGCCTGACGTTACTGTTTTTTTATACAATAGTCTGCTAATAAGAAGGCAAACGCGTAAATTGCCACCTTGTTTCGCCAAAATAGCGAAGTGACCGTTGCCTAAGACATCCGCATTTTCCGATGCGTGCAATACGTTTAATAAACAGAGGGGAAGCAGGATATTTCCTCTTTCTCTGCGTTCTTCGCTAAATCCATGTCCCCTTCTTGTCCTACAATCTTTTAATGAATTTAGTCATTTTATTCGTATTTAGGATATAAATTCTTCGTTGTTATTTGATATCAAAGTTTATTTCCAGTGCATGCCATACATCACAATAGACAGTATGAAGGAGATGCTCCCCAAGATGTTGGAGCTGATGAAGTCCCCGCAGCTGGGCACGAAGGTTGCCTGCGCGCATTTCATAGTCCTGTCTGCGCACTATCTGCGCACAGACCTCGAGCCAGTCGCCGGCAAGCTGATGACACATCTACTGAATGGGGCCTTCGACAGAAACCCTACTGTTAGGAAGAACTATGCGGAGGCGCTTGGACAGGTTTCTGCCTTCGCTAAGGTAAGGTTTTCTATGATTAAACTTAATATAATTTTTATTATCAATCATACGTACAAAATAATAAAACGTGAGTCGAAAGTCAGAATACAGCTATGAGATGATAAAATATTGTCTTGATTTACTAGGCCTTTAGGTACACGAAAGTTCAAAGATTTTCTTGGACTTTACGTGAAATATTTTAGCAAAACTATGTTACAAATAAGTTTCCGCCAGCGGAATATTATAATGTAAAGAAGAGAGACGGAAAGAGATAGTTTAAATTACTTATATTGTTTATTTACATAATTTTTATTTACTTGTACTAATAAAGGTAAACTTGTGTTTAGAGCCAGTCTATAGAGAAGTTGATGAAGAAATTAATAAACTTGTACGAAACTAAAGAAGATGATGTGTCTCGCTCTGCGGTGGCGCTGATGCTGCGCGCCGTCGCCAAGGCCAAGGCGGACCATCTCAAGGACAATGAAGAAATACTTGCACCGGTCGTCTTCCTAGCCATGCATGCGCCTAAAGATGAAGGTAAATGTCATGAGCGTCGCCAGCCGATGACCTAGACTCGGTGTACGGGGGGGGGGGGGGGGACTACCATTAATATGGTCTTATTCGTAGTAGTTTTTATATATATTTTACAATTTTTAATTCTCTAAGCTATATATCAAATATATATATCAAAATATAATATATATATATATATCAAAATAATTATAATAAATAGAAAAAAAAATTGAAACATGTTATTCTATTAAGATAACTTTGATGTAGTTATGAATTAATTTAAAATAGGCAATTGTAGCTTCCTCACGTGATGTTTGTATACTGATATAATAGTATTGTGTATCAGAGTCGAGTACCGTGGAGATGTTCGAGGAGTTGTGGAGCGAGCTGAGCCCGGCGCGCGAGAGCGGCATGCGCCGGCACCTGCCCGCACTGCGCGCGCACCTCGAGGCCGCGCTCGCCGCCACCAGCTGGACCAAGAAGATACAGGTCACACATCTCTCTGTCTCCCTCTTCCTCATACTCACAACATTGTCTTCCTCTCTCTCTTACACTGAGTTTGGACTGACGTCACACTTGTATGGCTATCCCTTTTACTCTATTTGAAAGGACAAAGACCACAATATGGTTTACTGATGTCGCAAATTATATTTATTCTTTATACGTAATCTTACAAATGTATCTACTCCCTTTTTCTATCTCTCTCTATGGGACTGTTTCTCATTTCTAAGGATTGCGACTGCTCTTTGTGACTTTTTCTCTCACAATATTCTCATTGTTTACTTTACAGGATACATAATTGTCTTATACTGTACTATTAATATAGCCTTTTTTGTTAAAAGTATTTAACGGAAGGTAAGCAAATTTAAGATTTTCCTATTTTTTACAGGGTGCAACTGCCATAAAGACGTTATGCGCGGAGGTGTCGTGCGGACTGGGCACACAGCGGGAACCTCTGCTGCGAGCCGCGCTGGCCGCCGCACATGGCAAGACATTCGACGGCAAGCATCATCTGCTTGATGCTCTTGCTGATCTCTGCACGTTAGTTTATATAAATGCGAATGTTTGTTAGAAGGTATCTCCAGAACGGCTGAATAGTTCTCGCTGAAATTTGGCATAGATGAAGAACATAAAAGCTACTAAGTTTTTTCTTAATTTCTCACGGACGGATCGCGGGCAACAGTCAATACATAGAAGAATAATCTATACGTTTGTTTATTTGTTTGTTAGGATTTTTTATATATTCCTTGTTTTATTTGCAGTGTCAAAGAGGGCGAGGCTCCACTAAACCCGACATTAGCCAGTGAATGTGTGAACGCGTTGTTGGCGGAGTGCCGCAAGCCGGACCCGGGACACAAGCGACGTGCGCTGGCGGCACTCGGGCGCGCGCTGGCCGCCACACACTGCGACGTCTTCCAACATGTATATGACATTGTTAAAGTCATATTGTCAAAGGTAACAAGCATTTATCGGCTCTAGGATAGTTATAGAGAAAAAGATTTAGATTCTGTATTTGTAAAATAAAGTGTAACTAACATGACACAAGAACGGCTGTACCGTTTTGACTGAAATTTGATCGGGTGGTAACTTTGAACCAGCTGACGGACATAGCATACTTTTATATACTAATTAAGAATAAATTTTTACCAATACTTAAATGGCGTTTTCTTAGATGGGTCGGAAAATAAATTTTTAACTATGCATGTGTCACTACACATACGTATTGTTGGAATTTATACCTAAACTAAAATTATATTTCACTAATTTTATCCACAAAACGACTGTTTTAAATTAATTATTGTTTTTACTATGGTCAGGACGAGTCGTCAATGGACAAGGATTCGGACGATGAGGATAACGAAGGTGCTCGGCGGCGCGCGGAGCAGCTCACCGCGCTCAAGGAAGCTGCTTACGAGCTGCTTGGCAACGCCTGGCCCAAGGACCCGCAAACACAAGGTACAGACCCAATTACCTGCACTTGGAAAGGCTACACACCGTGATATCTTGTGCCTATTTGATTTTCACTTCTTGACGATGATGGCAGGTGCTTGTAGCCTGAAGTTATAACTGTCAGTAGCATCATCAGGCGTGTCAAATCTGAACGAACCGTAGAAAATATTTTCTTTGATCTTAAGCTGTCTCTGTAATCTTTTAATTTTCATTGTTACAGATAAATACCAGGAGGAATTCTTCGAGCATTGTGCGCAATGTTACGCGAGCTCCACACGGTCGACACAACTCGCCGTGTTGCGGTCCATGGCTAGTGTGTTACCACGTCTTGAAGTGCTGCGTGGTCGCGGACAGCCGATGGACACTGATACTGACAATGCCACCCCTACTAATGCCACCATTGCCACAGATCGCGATAAAGCGATTACCAACATCAATACTCATGCAGCTAAAGTCGTTGATTATACACTTAGTATGTATTATTCGAATCAATAAAAATTTTACCTGTACTTTCCAATGTATCAACTTAAAAAGGATGTATTTACCATTGAAATTAATTTCTAATATATATATTTTAATATGTTTTTATTACAGAGAACAGTAATCAAGTGAGACATCGAAAGGACGCTCTTAATATCCTAGAGATATTAATAAAACAGTTAACTGGTAAGTAATATTTTTACAATAGCGAATTTAATGGTTAAATTCATTAATGTTAATCGCTAAATTATATATCTTTGTGTTCTAGAGCTAAACAAGACAGAAGAACTAAATATTCTTAAAGAGATCTACCATACGTATGCGCCGGATCTCGCTAAGGATTCATCGCACGAGTTAAGAACCAAAGTGGAAAGTATTAAAACTTATATTAATAAGTAATGTTACCATTTTTAATGACAGGAGTGTAATAAATTTAATGAAGTATAATAAATGATTCTTATCACATTAAATATAAATAATTTTTAGTATTATAATATAAAATTTTAACCTCTGAAGCTCCCATATACATAAGCCAACTTCTAGTCAAAGTCTCATCAAAATTGGTCTAGCCATTTCGGAGATGTATAATATTAACTAGAGTTCTTATTAGAAAAAAAAACAATATTTAGTATATCACATAAAAATTTAATGCAATCGCATCACATAAATCTATGGAATGAAACAAAAATAACGTCAACAATAAAACATGATCGATTTAAATACGCAATAAACTATAGTAAATATTAGCAGCTGAAGCAACAAACAAGCTCCTACACTATAACTTGACAAGAATGGACGAGCGAAATGTAAACACTTCGCTAAATACAATATTCTCTTACGTACTAAATTACACTATACAGAGTGCTCAAAAATTCATGGATCAAAAGAATTATTGCAAATGTTTTTGCAACTCCAGTTATAGTAAAAATCATGCATTATATAAAAATTAAAATAAACAGAAAATCAATCCAACTCCTTAGTGGTTAGGTTATGTCAGGTTGTCGAACATTATTTGGTGGAGACGACCCTATCCAACATATTTGTTTGATCCGTGAATTTCTAGACATCCTGTATAAAGAGCTGTTGATTAAAATATATTAAAAGCTATCAAAGCTTATGTAAAAGAGGGCGCGTGGAACCCTGTTTACTCGGCAGAAGTTATTTCTGCAGAATTTTAACTAAAACATTTTACTGTTTTGTTTAATTAAAAGAAAATATAACTTCAAACGTATAAATGTATGAATAATCCACGATAGTTGACGAGAATTAATAACATTTGTACATATATGTAATCATTAATACTATTAATATATTCACTATTACATCATACATTTTCTTATATAAGCACCTCGACCAGGACCATGACTTATTAACAAAAAAAAAGTATGAAATAAGTTTATATAACTTTATCGGATTTTTATTTCGGAATAAATAGAAACAGATAATTAAAGCTCTATGTTTTAAACATTTAAATAAAAGTCTCCACAAAAAAGAATATGATGTAAGTTTTCAGTTTTGTTTTCTCTTGTATTGACGCTCTCAAATATCTTGGTGGCTCGAAACATCGTAAGAGTAGCTGTTAAGTATTGCGGGGGAGCACTGCGCAGATGGCCTTGAGCCGCCAAGATATTTGAATAGACGTATACTTTTATTTAATACATTTTGTTTAAACAGCTTAATATTTAGACCTGGTCGAAAGTAAAATTATAAACACACTAAATCACAATTCATCTAACAAATGTATGAGCAAGCTTTTACTTTGACTCTATATTGAGTCAAATCTATTAAGCTCTTTTTAATACGTTTTTATCTAATTATTTAATATGGTTTAAAAGCTAAGGTAATGTGAAAGATTCGTGCAAATATTATTTTTAATACTTAATTAAATGATTTGGAATAGACCGAGGAAAAATTCTAACTACTCTTCCGATATATAGTCGAACCTGAGGGTTAAGACAAAGTACATTCGCTCCGAAGCAATTCTATAAACTTTCGATAAGTCACGTGATTGTCACGCGTCAGTTTCATTGAATTTTGATGTTCGCTATGGAATCGCTTCGGAGCGAATGCATTTTGTTTCACCCTGCTAGAAAAGCAGTTTTCGTTTAAGGAGGTCTTCGGGACCTGACAATGACCATCGCTTATAGAGGTTTCTCGTTTATCCGGGTTTGACTGTATTTTCGGTTTACACGTACATGCATGTTTACATAATACAATTTACTTAGTTAATTAGTTACAATTGACTCATAAAAATGCTATATATTTACTATATCTCATATAAATCACTATTTTCAATTGATTTGTTACTTTGCTACTGATTGAATCGACAAGGTTTTTAAATTCATTTTGTTCATAAATAATAGTTTAATAGGTGTGTCAGAAATTTTACAATTTTATATATTTTTTTCGATTCTGTAGATTCCTGGTAGTTTAGAATCAGATTAGAAATTACTAATTTATTGTCTTTGATACAAAGTTTTGTCAAAAAGTTCCTTTATTGACCTACAGATAGTTTACTAACCTCATCTTAAAAAATTATTTCTGCTAAATTGAATTTGTTCCACCATTTTTTAATATTGCACATTAATCTAGAATTAGTATTACATCCATTTGATGCAAAGCTTATAGGTTTATATTTTTGCAGAGTATTCTATACCTAGTACCTAATTGTACATAAAAAAACTTGCTCATTACACTTACAAATTCACTAAACATCGTCGAATAAGCCTCGAGGAGGCATCGTCATTTTGTCCCTCCTTCGATCTTCGAACTCTGTTCTGATGGAAGGCAGGGTACTGTCTCCGAATCTCTGGTCGATGTCCTGGTACGGGACCTCGGCGCGCTGGTACGAACCCCCCAGTCCCCGGTACGGCTCCGTCTGGTACGATCCGACTCGGTCCGGACTCGGTGTGACGTAGTAATCTGAGTCGACGTCATTCAATAGCCCGGTGTGGGCTGAAATGTGACGCACATGCACAATAACTGGATAGTATAGAGGTGGAAAGATAAATGAGGAAGAATATGATGTTGTGAAAAAAAAACGATGGGATTCTAAACAAATGAAAAGTGAAAAAAGAAGGAAAAAGAGGAGAAACGAAATTTAAAAGTAACATTTTTATAACTAGATGGCGTTATCATCAATTTTCCAAATTGATCATTTGAATGCATTAAAAAAGTATAAAACTTGTCACAAACGGACAGAATAGCATAAAGTAAGTATAATGATATATCGTATTACCTCCGTCCTGAGGTTCGCGCGTGCGGTAGTTGTATCGCTCAGTGTAGTCGCGTCTTCGCGACAGAGATTCCTCGGCGCGCTGACGCTTTCGTTTCTCTGTAAAATTAAAATAAATAATCATTTACTTACCACATTGATTCGGAACGATTTTTGTCTAATACATTTTACTAGACTCGCAAAGGAGCAAGGAGTCATCACACTGGAATAAAATTAAAATGAACTAGCTAGATCAGTTAGCGGTACTGAACATAACATGACTAAATGATACCAGAATACCAGAAGTTCAGCACAAACCTCGTTTAACAATCTCGCGTCCCTCATCCACAAGGTCTGTGGTGAGATCATCGTCTCCCACGAACTGCTGGAATCCGCAGAGGGAGAGCAGGCGGCTGCCCAGGGAGAGGTAGGTGGCGGCGCACAGCAGTACCACCAGCATTGGAAAGTAGATGTTGAAACCCTCCGCTATTATACCCAGCACATCCATGTGGCCCATTATCTGGAAACATTGGTACACACAATGATAACTAAGCAGTGAAATATCTACAATAAGGGCCCACCTTAGCGCTTAATTAACAACTCTGTGTGCGCTAGTAACTTACACCAATCAGAAGATGAAAAGAACAACAGTAAATTTTGCCATAAATGATGAGACTAATTCAATATTAGGCAGACTTTCTCACATAAAATAATTGGCTAATCAGTTTCAAAACTTTGAATAGAATACGTCTGGGGATTATACATCCATAACAGTTCTAAAAAATGGCATGATTTTTTTAATTCGGGTAAACTTTAAAGTTCCACAAAACATACTTGCGTGTAGTAGGTCTCCATGATGCGTTGCTTGATGACATGAGAGTCCATATGCACGAGACTGAGGAAGTTGAGGCACATGGCGGGCGTGAGACGACACACCAGCATGCCGGAGAAGATGAGACTGTACTCATTGGTCTGGTGATGCGGCGCCAGGTAGTACAGGTTCAGCACACGGATCTTAAGCACCGTGGAGTAGGCGCAGTAGAACATATATCCAATTATCAGCGTTGACACTGACTGGAAAGTAACAAAATAAAACTATAAAGTAACAAATGAAAAATCATATTAAAAATAAACACTAATGTGACCTTTTTGGTCCAGACAGATGACTTAAATAAGCGTTATATATTGATATTGCTGTCCTTTGGACTCTTCACTTATCCAAGTTCCATTGTATATAGTAAAACTAAACATAAAGCTAAATAAAATTGAATAAATAAAAAAAAATTAAGTAAAAAAAATATTCACAGAGTAACAAAGCCACAGACAGTCTTTACATAGTAAAAGATAGATACACTTACCACAATAGCAGCATAATTGTATGTATCCTTAGCGGCAATTACAATGTTGGCGAAGATTGAGAGCACCGGCTTCTTACAGAAGAATGTGACCTCAGACCAGACCACGGCCACAGACAGCAGCCCCGTCACCACCGCCAATGACTTCAAGAAGTATGGCCTAAGTAGGCATTCCCAGTACCACTCTATAAAAGAATAAAAATAGAGTTGGTTGCATGTTTCATATAACTTATACCATATTATGACGTCATAACAAAAAAGGATCAGTGAATTATTTATTTTTAAACCAAGTCTTGCAAGTTCAAAATTATTTAATGGTGACGCAAATATTCTTCGTATATTTCTAACTTTGGAAAAATAGAGTCATCGATTTTTGTATATGGGATAAGTTACCGAGTATTGGTGGGTACAAGATCCTATGCAGACGTGGCCGGGGTGTGTGGAAAGCGTGCTGGAAGCGACGGTCTGGTGCGCGCGCGTTGCTCGCCACATCTTCCAGGTGCATGATGCGCTCCAGCATCAGCCCCCACTGCGTCTCTGTGCGTTGCAGCACGTGCAGTGCTTTGATTGTCTGAATTATGCCACAAGAGGTTTTGTTAGTATGAAAACAAAATAATTTTTTAAATAAAATCTTAACATAATATTGGACCAATGTTAAAGACTTTTAAATCTTATATAAATAACCTAAATGTGATATAACTTACCTTTTTATGCAAATTGACAAGGGACTTAAAAGAGGGTGGTGTGGGCCTTTCTGGAGCTACTCGTGAATTAAGCCTATCCCGCAGTTGTATTGGCAACTTTTGGACTATCGTCTCTACATGACGGTGTAACGGGTGACCTGGACCGACTGCCGCTATTACTGAATTTAACGACTGCAAACATGAGGAAAAAAAAAAATAAAAAAACGAATATTCATTAAAACCAATGACTTTACACAAAGCTTATACTTACATCCAATATATCATCCACAGTTTCTTCCGCTTCACATTTATCTGTACTTAGCTTAGCTATTTTGAAATAACTGTACGTAAGTGTGTAGTTCTTTTTCGAGTTATTCCACAAATTCCTTGGAACCTCAACTAATGCATAACCGAGTAACAAAATCAATAGAAACAGACCCCATGTATTACTCGCTGAAGATGCTATAGCTTTTATTTTAGGTCCATCTAAATATACACCAGGTTTTAAGGCGATGTATATCAGAAGTATGCCACATATAAGCAAGTATGATCCATAATAAATTGCATTATCAACTAATGCAGATTTCAATTTGCCTTTCACGGTAAAGTCTCCAGCTTTGCTATATGACTGCATCATTGGCATAATAAGCCTGAAAACAAAGAAACAACTTCAGGAAATATCTAACCTACATTTAGTTTTTTGTTTTTATAGTAGAAGGGGGCAAACAAGCAATGGACCACATGAAATTATTTGATCCAACGCCCATGGACATCTGTAACGCAAGAGCAGAAATGAGAACCGGAGATGCATTGCCGATCTTTAAGGGAGGTTTACTCTCTTTTCTTGAAGGCCCTAATTCATAAAGAGTTTGAGAGTTTGAAGAGTTTGATGGTCATACTTATAACATTAAAGTTAACTTGTTTTGGGTATCAATTTTAAAATAAATATTTAAAAGAAACCAGTGATCAACATGTGAAACAGTGGGTTTCTCATTTTGGAAAGGCCACCAAACTAAAGTGATACTCTGAAAAATGCCTACCATAAGATTTAAATTTATTCTTTATATCAAGAAATTAGCAAGTGACAAACCATGTTAAAAAATAACAATTAATCATGATTAAAGAAAAATAAGCAGAAAACATAGAATAATGTAGTTTTAGAATCATTATCATATGCATTACACAACTAATATTTGCAATAACTTTAATAGTAAAAGTATGTTTTTATTACCTTGATAAATATACATTTTGATAAGTACTGACTGACGTAATGTTTAGGTAAATTAAAGCAATTATTACAGTTATATCAGAAAATTTACAATGTACGGCATATAAAGTAACATTGTAGAATTTATAATACTATAAAATGCTATGACCCATGAATAAATCACAAATATATGTGTTATTGAACCAAAAAAATTGTGATGGCTCATTGATAGCTGCATGGAAATGTTATGGTTTAGGTGGGAGTCAGATTAGTCCGTACCAGGAACGTAGTGTGCGAGAGGGGTGGCAATGCCCTAACATTTGCTTTAAATTTCCAGATAACTAAAATTGTGCTTTGCATAGCGCCTTAACAGATATTGAAGTATGCCATACTATTATATACAGATTTACTACTAAATGGTTTTTATATATTTCTTAGTACATGTCTAAATAAATAGATGTGCTACACAATAAAAGGCTCAAGATATATGGTGATTTGTTATTACATACCAAGTCAAACATTGTGATGTCCAATATACAACTCTCCAGAGGTTCGGAAATACAGAGTCTGGTACATAACTCCATGGCTTCTGACAATGTCCGGGCACTGGGGATTCAGTGCTGGATACATTGGTTTGGAATACAACAGGGCTTGTTGAGTTGTCTTCTTGAAGGCATTGCCGGTAAACAGTCTAAAAGTAGGTATTACTTATAACACAAGTAGAGATTACAGATTTCTAATAAGTGAATTCCAAATATCTATGTGCTACCATTTACTATACTTTCTTTGTATTTATTTTTAGCATGAATAAAATTGTCATGTATAAAAACTATTGTTCACATTTATACATTTGAACCTGGATTAGTAAGAGTTCAAGGGACCTTGATATTTTTCTCACTTATAGAACTTTCTCTCTTATCAGAGTTTCTTGCTTATGGAGATTGTCCATTGGGGCCAGACAATGGCTTTTGTTTATTCAAATTTGACTGTACTACTACGTAGAAAAGGTAATATCTAACTCTTTAGCTTATATTGGTATTTATTTCTCAATACTTACCGATGACACATCCAGGGGTAGTATAAACATAATAACAAATGAAAAGGTCCAGGCAATAAGGACTGATACTGTGACCAGAATATGATTCCTGTAACAATCTCCATATCTATACAGTAATGTAGCAGCTAAAATGAATGCCGATATAATTTCTATAACGAACAGTGTGTAAGCCATTGTGTTAGCTGTTTATTAAATTAAATCCAACTCATGGGGTTTGTTTAGCACTTTTATTTGTATCCCTTCGTAGTCTTGCTGCTTCTTGTTGTAGCTGTTCGAAGCGGAGTTGCGTTATAGATTTTAAAGGCAGTAATATGGGCCGCTGTATTTCGTACTCAGTTGGGCATTCTTCGAAGAACAAAATCCCACAATCAGGGAGAATAGGATCAAATTCAATTGTATTGATTTCTTCCGACTTCTCGGACATCTTAAGTATTACGTTTACCAGACATCGTCAATGATATTTTATACTTTATGATAGGTTAAAAAGTCAAGACGCAATAAATAGATCGTGAAAAATAAAATGATAATTTTATAATGAATAATATAGACACTGCACCTACATATACTTCACACTTCACAACTCACAACCAACTTCATCACACAATCATTTTCAAAGAGTAGGGATTAGGGTTGCACGATCCGATCCGTACTTTCGTGAATTAAGATCCCTATCAGAGTGTAAAATGTCATCACTTTGTCAAAAAAAAAATCAATTAATCGTAAAGACTAAAAATAAGATCAGGCTATTACGAAATTTACTAGATTTGGTGATGGTTATTCACAAAAAATATATTAAAATGGTATTTATAAAGTATTCAAGTTTGTATTTCTTTTTTTATATTGAATAAACGAGTACTTGACCACAATAGCAAGGTCTTTTAACAATAAACATAATAACGGCTTTGCCCTTAAATATGCCCTTGTGGATGCTGAGGTACCGTATTACCAGTACCTACCTTCATCCGTTCTGGAAAATAGCGATATCACGCTCTACTGGGATCGATCTATTATTACGAATAGGACTATTGCTGCCAATAGGCCCGATATAGTAATATTAAACCGGTCTGAGAATTGTGTAATGTTAGTCGATGTCACTATTCCACATGACGAGAATCTCGTGAAAGCTGAAAACGAAAAATTGTTAAAATACCTAGATTTGGCTCACGAGGTTACCGCCATGTGGCGTATGAAATCGACTACCATTATTCCGATAGTCGTATCGGTAAATGGACTGATAGCGAAGAGCTTCGACCAACATTTCAAGAAGCTCTCGCTAAACAGTTGGATTAAGGGCCCGATATAAAAAGCAGTTATCCTAGAAACAGCGCGCATCGTAAGAAGGTTCCTGTCCCTGCAGCCCTGACCACAATTGAAGATTGAAGGATAACTTATCCATATTATTATCTAATTCTTTGATACTTCGAGACAACTTTTTATGTTATTTTTCAACACTGATATAATGATATCATGTTATTAATTAAGTAGTATTAGTAAATAAACATTAAATCTTCGTAGCGTCGGTTTAACGTATTTGGAAGAGCCTTTTTATTGTAACATTATATAATGTATAATATGGGTATGTGATAAATTACCTGTTTGGTAACTAAATGTGTTACGAGGACGTGGAACATCGTTGTATCGTTGGCACGTAATACTTAGAAAAGGTATATGTACATATGTGTCTTCTGAACTTATCTTTTATATAAAATTGCCGATCACGTAAGCGAGCTACAAGATAAATTTTCATTTTATATGTTCTACGCGTTGAAGGTTGAAATAAAGCTCTCTGGAGTTCGATAATCTTTCTTAAGAAATGACTTACAATTTTTTTTAGTATATATTATAAATAACACGTTTTTTTAACGATGGAGTACAAGTGAATCTGGATCTTAGGTTGAAACTCGTTAATAAAAAAAAACAATTTCTCGATTTTGTGGCTAGATTTGTACTTACCCATTTTCGTAAATCTGCCCACAACTCGATATAGCATCTGAATATATGGATATGGTCTGATATAAATAACGCCTTAGTGAATATAGTCCGGCCACATCGTAATTTAGCCGTTTTGCAACATAAATCGTTGGTATAAAAGGGTTAATAAATAGAAATGTTGTACTAGATAGAAGTACAAAGATGAACTTTGATCACACTGGCTTAACTTTCGATATATGACGCAGTCAAATTGTGAAAATAGTTATTTAGTAAACACACTGAGCACAAGTGCTTTTTACGCACGTTTATAAAGAACAAAAATGCATTTTTGTAGAAATCTGTTCAAACAGCATGGTTTTTTTTTAAAAACCACGTTTTTTTATTGTACCGTGGTTGCATATTGAGCACCGGACGAAGGAAACAAGTGTGGTTTAAAAGCGTTCAACGTTTGAGAGCTGCAAACGCAGAGTTTTTAACGCGGCGTTAAAAAAAACGTACCCACGTACATATGCGCTCTGAAGTTTCTTGACCGTTGAAATATTGTCGATATCGATATAATGGAGTTATTTGTGTAATTTACCGGCAATTCGTAGAATCTCTCCGTTTGTAATTTTCCCAGGGGAACTATAAAGGCTGCTGGGGTCCTTACAATCAAAATGTAAACTGGTATGCAGCTTTCATAATATACTTACTTAAAGTTTAGATTAAATAATTAACCTAAGGAATCGGGTTCGTGTTGGCTTTAGGACGTCGCGTCGGGTTGTACCATTTATTAAAGGGTACAATGCGGCTCAGGTGGGTTTGAGTTTTGCGTCTTAACTAACCAATTATTTAATAACTATACGTAAAACATTGAATTCACTTAAAGATTTTTAAGTTTATTTGTTGAGTTTATTAATACACAATATAATATTTCGATCGTTTATTTTGACTTATAAGTTAGTAGAAATTCCCAAGCCTCGAGGATACTGTAGGGAAAGCGAACTTGCTCCAAAGCGAACCCAATTTTTGATTTGAGCTTGCCTTAATGAAGTGAGTCCAACCTTGAGCAAACTGCATTTCATTTTCAGTTTGTTTTCATGATTTACTCGTTTAGCTTCGATGTGCTACAGGCTAGTTAGTAGGCTAGTCGTTGTCTAAAAAAATATTATATTTAACATGATTAAAATCAGATTCCCGTCATGCCCATAAATTGGAATATAATACTCAATGTTAGCACGGAAATGGGTTTACTATATTTTACTGCCGCTATCGCGATGTTCCTCCGAAACACGAGACGGGAAGGACATCAATTTTCTACGAGATTAATGGACGTTTTCACCTCCTATATTCAATTTGTCTGACATAACGCAGCTCGTTTACTTTTTAATCCTATAAAAAAGTAAATATTCAATTATATGATTTCCCACGATATATTTGTTGTTTACTATAAATAACTAGAATATGAAACATTTGATGATATTGATTTCGTATCTTGTAAAATGTAATCACTTTAGACTGCAATTTTTTAAACCATGTGATATAAAATTTGGTTTACCAAAAGCATTGTTGTATAATTTATAGCAACTAAAGGATGTGTAAACACAAAAAAAAACTGTTAAAGGTTATATTTTCGGAAAAAAATAAAAGATCTACAAACATATTTTGTCTTACATTATGTACTTACCTCGAACATCCTGAAATAAATCGTGTTAATCTGACAAGACGGTATCATTTCTCGCATCTAACATTTTGCTTTTCACCGTTATCCGAAATTTACGAGCGCCACGAAAATGTTCTGGTATGAAACCGAGACGCAATAACTTTATCACCATTTAGGGACCGCTACATTTTACGATCCAATTCGTAAATTATCTATCTGTTTATTACACACTAAGGATTACATCTGTTTATTTCATTAGATAAATAAATTATGATTTCTACGTCATTGACAATTTATTCCAACATGGTCGCTGTTTAGACGAAATATATATTGCCAATGTTTCTACATCGCAACAACGTGTCTGTTGTGTTGTGTTTATTATACCAAGTCGATTAAATCGTTGAAGTCAACTGATACATCCGACACCTTCTAGATTAATAGCAACCTGTAAGGAACTCCAATCTGGTAAGAGACAGGTGAAAGGACGGCGAAAAAAGATCTTTATGCCAATTGTCGTCATTACTTCGTCTGCATTAGATATTTCTTTGTCTTTTAATGTTGATTGAAATTCCTTCCAGCCATCAGTTAATTCCCTTATTAATTTAACATATTTATAAGGTTTATAAGTGGTTATAGTTATGGAAATGTTTATTGTTCTTGACTAAGCTAAAATGGAGATGACTAAGCGCGTAACGACCCTACCTAATCAACTTAATTTGTTCGCAGTAAATGAAGGCATCAGCAATCAAGTTTTATGTACGAAATCCCTTCTATGAATCAGTTCACACGAATAGGCAATTTCGTGAAAGCAAATTTTCACAAGACTTGAGTTTTCTCTACGCCCGTTGAGGGCTTTTGTAACTTATGGGACGGCTTTTCTTTATTACTATTGGAAACTAGACGTTATCCTTTTTTTAGTTACTTTCTTTGTGATTCATTTAAAACTGCAGGTGTGGGCTAAAAATTTATTAGAGAAACTGATCCAATTAATTTTATAGAGATACAAAGAAAGTTCGTCAAATATCTTATGTATTATCTGTCACTATTTTTTATTTAATATACTATTTAAATATTTAAGTTAATTACAGTTTCAGCTCTTAATTATGCCAATATTAAGCGCTAATTTTGCGCCTGAAGTTAACAGAGAAAAGTTGCCCCGAGATAAACTTTTGCATTTCCTTGTAAAGTTTTCAGATTTTGGTATATTTTATGCTGCATCTTAAAACATTTTCTTTACAGATTAAAAGTTTTAATGTTATTAGGACGTGCATATATTTTATTTTCTTTATACAATCGTCGGTCGCAAGAACAAATACCACGGTTATTTCTTGGTCATATCCAACAGAAACTAATACCAAAAAAGGTATAATTTGAGTTTTCTTAAGTGAGTGGGTTAGTAATATAGTATTGTCAGTCGCAGGCTCTTAGCGTTAAGGAAATTCATTCGTTCAAGAGACGCCCGCAGATTGTAATTCTGTTTCATCCGAATACTGAGATACGAAATGGAGTTTTTCCTGTTAGGTTGATTCATTCCGTAACATGAAAAAGATGATGCAACATTAAATTCAATTTATATTATTAATATAAAAGTTTAACTTTAAGATATTTCAAGAACTTTTGTCGAAAAAATTTAAAATGAATTTCAATGTGTGTTTTTATTACTTTTTCAGATGTTTTATTTAAAATTCTCCTATAATTCTTAGCAGTAAACAGATATAAAATATAGGAAGCTTAGTCGCCAGAGTGTCGCTAAATGTTCACAAATTTACAGCTTCGAAAACATAGTCTAAGTTTTCTAAACTAATAAATTTTAAATAATGTTAAAAGCAAATTGTAATGTATTTTTGTTTTGAATTACGACTTTACGCGTAAATAAATATCAAATCTTATTCATCATCATCATCAACTTGCCCTTATCCCTATCGAGGGTCGGCACAGTATGTACTACTCCTCCATACATCTCTATCAGCCGTCATATCCGAGTCTACCCCCTACTTACG